AACAAAAAAAAAAAAAAAAACACCAAAAAAAACACACCCACACACCCCCCCCCCCCCCCAAAAAAAAAAAAAAAAAAAAAAAAATAAAATAAAAATAAAAATAAAAAATGAAAGAAAGAAAGAAAATGGACACACAAGTTTGGCCATTTTTTTCGATAACCCCTGACTTAAAAATGTTACAAAGCCCCCTTTAAGTTTGGCCTGTTTTGGTATAGCCCCCCTAAACTTTTAAAAATCCGTAAACTTCAAATTGTCATCTAACCCCTAAAGTTTTCTTTTCCAGCAAACCAAGTACACCCTAAAAACTGGTACCCGATACCCCTCGTCTTTTGCCGTCCATGGGGAAAGCTACCAGAAAATGTCCCCTGCCATCCAAAGCTTGCTGACTTTGCGAATTGCATGAAGAAGAAAGGCCGTGGTATGTCAATATTCGCCTCAATAATTGACGGAGACTACCACGTACTTGCCGAGGATGCCAAGATCGCCTGCCGGCAGCTTGACACTTATATAGACTACAAAAGGTGCGAAGGTGTGGCCGAGATCATCGTAGCCCCAAATATGTCCGAGGGATTCCGTGGCATTGTGCAAACTATGGGCCTTGGCAACCTCAAGCCCAATATTGTTGTCATGAGGTATCCAGAGATTTGGCGCAGAGAAAATCTCTCTCAGATTCCATCAACTTTCGTTAGTATAATTAACGACTGCATTATTGCCAACAAGGCGGTTGTAATTGTTAAAGGTCTGGATGAATGGCCTGGTGAGTATCAGAGACAGTATGGAACTATCGACCTATATTGGATAGTACGAGATGGGGGTCTGATGCTCCTCTTATCTCAGCTTCTTCTCACAAAAGCAAGCTTTGAGAGTTGCAAGATACAGGTATTCTGCATTGCTGAAGAGGATACAGAAGCTGAGGAGTTGAAGGCGGATGTGAAGAAATTCCTTTATGATCTCAGAATGCAAGCTGAGGTGATTGTTGTGACAATTAAATCATGGGAGGCCCATGTCGAAGAGGGTCATCAGCAGGAAGAATCAATGGCGGCATTCACAAATGCGCAAAGAGAATTTTCGTATCTTGCAGAGATGAAGGAGACTGCTAGTTAGAGAAGGGAAGCCATTTTAAATGGCTGATGGCATAAGCAAGTTGGTATTGAATGAACAACAAGTGATAATTTTCTTTATACAACCCTGGAAGTTATTCTACGATACTTAGGATACTCGAGAATGCGCTGCTGTCGTTTTCGTGAGTTCTTCCTCCCTCCGCCATTTGAATCAACACCGCTACTTCTATATGGAGTATATGGATCTTTTGGTGCTTATAGTTAGGGGGTATAGAAGAGATGTGGTTACCCTTTTTACTTGAACTTGATTTCTTTTACAATTATCATACTTCATTGTTCTACAATTGTTGTAACAATTTTTGATTGTTTTTCTTATTAACTTGTTGCCCTTTTTCTTAGATTGCTAAGATGGTTTTACGTATTGAATTCATTCTTTCTTGTGCCTTGAGCTGAGAGTGATGTAGTACTTTTCCCACGATTTTTCATGATGATAGATCATTTGCAGCAAATGCAGCTTTGTGTACACGTTGAAATTTACGACTTGTTAATATTTATGTTGCTCATGGACTAAGCTTGTTAATGTTGGAAATATCGATATATGTTTTGTTTCTGATTTAACTTATAGCTGAGAACTCTGATTTTGCTTGTACTCGTATTGCCGCCCACTGTTTTCTCTTCTATTATGTAGTTCTCCTTCAAATTTGTACTATATTTCTTACCAATTAGTTGGTTGCAGTCCTCTTTTGTAAGCAAACTCGTCAGGAGAATTACACAAGGAGACTTTTTCTTTCAAAAACTTTGACCAACTTGGAATTTCTAAACAATTTTTAATGATTTCATGGATTTTGCCAGATTTTTCAAAGCGCAGCCGCTTTGAAAAAGCTTGGAAAATTACCGAGTTTAAAAGGAAATGTCAAAGATTTGTTTGACAAGTATTTCCGTCTTCAATGGTTTCGAGATGAATCATAGAAAGCCCTATGAACTTTTGGTGTGTTGCAGTTAATTTCTATCATCTTTTTTTATTAGACTAAACCCTCCTTAAACTATATGAGTTAGTGAACATTACATCGTTTATTTTGCTTAATCTTATATGCAAATTTATCTTTTAATCTTCATATTAGCATCCTTAACTCTAACGTATCACTGATATGCAAAATGCCAAAAAAAAAAGAATTTTTTTCTTGGTCCCCAAAAAAATCTTAATTGAAAAAGGAAAAAGAGGTCCGAGTTACTGTAAGTTCTTAAAAGCTCATGGTGGTTTTTGTAATTAGCCCTTTACTTTTGCCTTCATATAAAATTGAGCACATAGTATTGAAAGCATTGTACATCAAGATGAGGTCCGAGTTACTTCTCAAACACAAAATAGCCATCCGTGACAACATTCCAGAAGGTTCTTCCTCTCCCCTCTTATTGGTCCGTTATCAACCCACTAATTTTGCCCGTTTGTTCTTTGGCCCATAATTAAATTATGGATTTTTTTTTTTTGGCGTCAGCTGTACGCGGAGTCCAAAAAGCGGTTATCAGAAGGGCATTTTTGCAATTCAGAAACAAGTAAAAGTGTTCCCATTCTTGCGGGCCAATACTCTCGCTACAAAAACCACTGCAATTTCTCTCTCCTCAGCTAACAAAAACAAGTATATACAGAAAAAAGGGTAAACAAAAAAAATAAAAAAATCCGTAGTCAAAATAAAAACAGCAGCGGAGACTCGCCAAAGAGCCCTTCCAAACTCGACTCCTCGAGCTCCTCCGATTCCTTGCTCGCGATCGAAGCTCACCTCATCGGTACGTCTTCTCTCTTTGATTCCTTCCTTCATGGCGAAATTAGGGCTAGGGTTAGGGTTTCTCGCACTGTTCTCCCCAATACTTATAGCAGCGATCGCATCGGATCGAATTCCGCTGTCGTGTCCCTTGGTTTTCTCGATTCTGATCGTTTCCATGGGGTGTTGGGGGACTTGGAGCAGTGGCCTGCTCTATATGCTGCATCGAAAGCGAGGTGAAAGAGAAGACGTCGAGATCGAGGAAGGGGACAGCGGATCTGTGAACAACAAGAAGCAAAGGGTCGATTCAGAGGCTTCGTCGTCGTCGAGAGCGATGGATTCTAATGGCGCGAACGGGAACGAGAAGACGGCGGCCATGGGGAATGAGATCGATGAGGATCTGCACAGTCGACAGCTGGCGGTTTACGGGAGGGAGACTATGAGGAGGCTCTTCGGTTCGAATGTTCTTGTTTCGGGTCTCAATGGCCTCGGTGCTGAGATCGGTGAGATCTTGATCATTTTCATCTAACTTTTTGCTTTTTCTGTTGATGTATGATCTCCTTAGTGACATATGTTTTGTTTCTTGTTACTGGAATTAGGATGAACATGAAATTACTATTGTGAGGTGTTAAACTCTTAAGGATCTGGAACTTGAATTGCTATTTCTAGTATTTTTCTTAGCTGTAGTCATTCATTCCTTTTAGAATCATCGGATGTTATTTGGAGAGGGCACTGAGATCCAAGTCCTTTGTTTCTAATTGTTTCTTTGTTTGTAGCTCAGGGTTTGGTACTTGCGAACGCAGTTTAGAGCAAACGGTGAATTCTTGTATTGTGAAATTACTCTCTCGAGGGGCACGGACTCTTTGCATCTTTGTAATCTTGTAGTGCATGTAGATGAAAACTAAAGTTATCGTCATGGCTTGTTTTGTTGGCCACTTGACTGATTTGATTTGTTTGTATAATGGATAACTAGAGTTCTGGTGCGCTTGATTATGAGCAAAATAATTCCTGGGGGGTGCTAGTCAAGTAGAACTCAAAATTAGAACTTAGATAATTTGTGGGACAATATTTTATAGTATTTTAGTCCATTAGAACTAGAACTAGGATAAAATTATACAGTGTTAGTCAACAAGAACTGGATAAAAGGTATAACTGAGATAATTGTAAAAATTTATCCCACTTTTGTCAAATTTATATAGAAAAGATAGAGTTCTAGTCTCTCAAATTACCCCAGGTTTTAAGCGAGAACTACATGCTAAAAAACTAGAACTTTATTATTTACTTTTTTATTTTTCATATTTCATTTCTCTATCATCTTCAAACCACACCATAAAATTTGATCACATCTCTTCTTATCCTTCCCTTCTATTTAATGTCATTTTTTACTTTTTATTAAATATTTGAATTGTATAATTAATTTAAATTTAAAATTTTCAAAATTCATATTTTATTAAAAATTAATTAAAATTGAGAGATGATGGAATGATGTCTGGTAGATCAAAAAAGAAAGAGGAAAAAAGGAAAAACTATTTTTTAAATTTATATTACAATAATAATTCGAAAAAAATCAAAAAGTTAATCTTATAGTCTATCTAATAGTTATTCAAGATTAATTAACACTAAAATAATAATAATAGTAATAATTTTTACAATGTATAAATAGTAGAATGGTCGTCAAAATACATGACTTATATGCTTATTGATTTCTGAAAATTATCCTTAATTATACTTACAATTGTCCCATTAAAATATCATGTTTTAAAATATCATTCCCAATTATCTCATTAAAATATCCCACAGTAAAAAATTATCCCATAATAAAAATTGTTCCACTTCTATCAATAATGTTCTAGCTGACTAACACCTTCTATCAATAATGTTCTAGCTGACTAACACCCCCTAATTTCCAAGAACTCTTGGGGACTCCTTTCTACCTTATGTTTTTCTGTGGGCAAAGGTGAAATCTTGCATCTTTTCTTCTGCTTCTCTCCTTGTTTTCTCATCATTTGATTTTGTGACTTTTGGAATTAGAATGGAATGCTTACTATAAAATTTGGCGAATAGATGAAGTTTCTATGCCTTCTTTGCATACCATCTTCTGCCCTTAACTTTGTATATAAATTTCTTGTTTATGGACTAAAAACTCTGCTTTTTTGCATGTGTTTTTGTCTTGTTATTTGGAATAAGAGCCCTTAGCTAAATAATAAATAAAATTTGAAAAAGAAGGATTCTTATAAATTTGGCTTGCAGCCATCGTTAGACCCTATGTTACCTAGGTACTTTTGACACATACCCATACCGAATCTATACCCAAACTCTTTGGACACTACTTACATATATGTATACATTTATTCGGGCATCTACTCAATTATGCAATACATATTTTAATTTAAATTACTTGTCATACATTTTTCAAACATATGTTGTAACACCCCACACTTTAGTCCCACATGTACTAGTGAGAAGAAATGTTAGTGGCTTAAATAGATAAAAGCCCAAGGTTTAAAAACAATTAGTGCTAGCATTTTGACGGTGGATTTTAGCCAATATCGAGTTGCTCTCGGTGGGTTCTACGGCTTGCACGGGCCCGAGGCGTGACAAATGGTATCAGAACAGTTACTAGTCGGAATGTGAAGCTAAGTGCTATATGGGGCTAAGTGCTATACCGCGTGAATGCGGTGAGAGCCACCTCTAGAGTCTGTAGGAGCCCACCTCTAGAGTTCATATCGTCGACACTGGGATGTGCTAATTGTCATGTCATGATGGTGTGAACATTTCTTTGTAAGGTGGGGTGATTGTGACACCCCACACTTTAATCTCACATGGACTAGTGTGAAAAAATGTTAGTGGCTTAAATAGAAAAAAACTTAAGGCCCAAAAACAACTAGTGCTAACATTTTAACGGTGAATTTTAACCAACATCGAGTTGTTCTTGGTGGGTCACACGGCTTGCACGCCCCAACAGGCCCCAGGCCCGGGGCGTGACATATATGTACACTTCAAATTCACTTGAAACTCGTCGGACATAGGTCAAGTTCCTAACTATGATTTTAAAGGGTCGTTAGGATGTGTTGTTCAAAAACTAGTGATTTTACAATTTATAATCCACATAATAAAAAAAACATAGAAATGTTATGGGTGTTTTACTTCTCATAAGACGTGAGTAAAAACCACATTGATCTAATGTAAATTATTAATTTCAATAAATAATATGTATATGTGTATGAATATTTATATACCAGTGTCCCGTAACCTACCTTTTACAAATATTTTGTGTCATGTACCTGTATCCATGCAACATGGGTTAAACCTATTATTTTATGTGTCTAGGTATTCCTTGCACCCCCTTGTTTCTGTTTCTTCCTTCTGTTCTAACTGAAAGAAAAGTCTTCAAGTACAGATTATTCTGTGTATGGATTCTAATAAAGAAAGAAATGGCTGCTAATTGAAGATAAACGAAATAATCTTCCGCCCGGGTCTTGAGATCCAGCATGTATTATTTGATTTTTAGAAAGCAAATCTTTTTTTAATAGTTTTTATTAGTTGATATGTAGAAAAGCATGGGAGAATGGAGATAATTGCAAAATTCTTCATATGCAAAATTCAACCCTCTGCAGCTTGTAGGTATCTGTTTATGAGCAAAATTCTTCATATACATGTTAATTTTTCTTCAGTTTGAAGCATCACAGAGACTCAGATTCACATAGCTTTGGATCTTTCTTATTACTGCAGTACAGTCAATTTTTTTCCTGGGCTACTGCAATTGTAGGTAATTGAAAATTGTTATTGGTACTGTTACCTTACCTTGGTTCTCTGTTTATTATCTGTGACTTGTTTTTTTTTTTTTTTTTTTTTTTTTTTTTTTTTTTTTTGCATAATGGAAGTAGTCCTTGTTTTCATTATGAGCTTTTTCCTCGTCTCCAATGTTTCCTCTTTTCTTGCCACTTCTTCTATGATCTACTTCTGTCTTGGGAGTTTATTAAATTAAGGTACAATTGTATTATATGCTATGTTTACTGCAAGTTTCATCTGTGATTGGAATATGCCTATGTTTCTTCGCTAACTTTGTTTGCGATCTGCTACTGTTTTCTTTCCTTTTTTGTTTATTTTCTGGTTGGTCTGTCTATTTGTGTCTCCTCTGCTGGTATGCTTGCATATGCTTAATTAGTACTCTGACCACCCTAAAGTTAAAAAAAAGGATGGGGAAAACCTGTTGAGCTGGAAATATGCTGACTGATGCATGTTTTTAGAAACATGCTGACATATGTTTCATTGAGAGTCGCTCTTAGTAAGATTGTTCTTTACTTTGTGTCTGTGTCATTAATAATTTCTATTTCTTGCAGCAAAGAACCTTGCTCTTGCTGGAGTAAAATCTGTTGCCCTTCATGATGAAGAATCTGTAGGATATTGGGACTTGTCCAGTAACTTCTTTTTCTCTGAGGATGATCTTGGTAAGAATCGTGCTCAAGCCTGTGTCCAGAAGCTGCAAGAGCTCAACAACGCTGTCTTGATATCTGCTCTCACTGAAAAATTGTCAACGAAATTACTTTCTAATTTCCAGGTATGTTCCCTGCAAACATCTTGGTTCATTTGTCGATATATATATAATGTAATATAAAAGGTGATGGCTCATTTAAGACAATGAGCTACCAAGAGATAAGAGGTGAGATCCACACCTTTTGATGTGACAAGTAGGGTGGGTTGCACCATGTGAATATCTCTTGGTAGCTCATTTAGAAAAATGAGCCGCCATCTCATATCCATTTTCCCTATGTGGTAAACGATCGAATCAAAGCGAATACTACGGTGTTCGTATTTGTATTTGTTTAAAATTATCGAATTTGAATGTGGACTCTAATATTCATATATAGAGTTTTTTGAATTCGAACTCAAATACTTGGTATTTGATAAATATTCATGAATATGCATGAATACTTATCAAATATCAAAGTATATTTATTCTGCTAAAGAATTTAATTGTCAAATAGTATTAAAATTTATAAATAAAATTTATTCCTTTAATATATATGATGTATATATATTTAAATCAAAGTTTTCATTAGAAAACAGATTTAAGATTATTTAAGTCTTAAAATTAGTACATAAAACTTAAGTAGAAATGATAAGTGGGTTAAAAATATGACATCATATATGCAATAATACCAATAACAAGTGATCAAAATTTAAACGAATATTTGATAGACAAACGAATCGAATATACATCTGGTTAAATTCTATTCGTTAGTAAACTCGAACTGAAAAATATTTCTTTAATGGTAAATGAACTACCGAATCGAATATGACCGAATAGTTACTCGAACAATTATTGAACTATTTGTTAATTGTTTGGTTCATTCCACCCCTACCTATGTGTGTGTGGACACACCACACACACACTTACAATACACATAGGGTGTAACTAAACGCATGTGAAAATACATGTTTGATCCACACCGTTCATTATGATCTATGCATTCAAAACTTCATAGAGATAAAAATGTCTCATAGATTAGATATTTCTAGTTTATACATTTTATGACATAGAAATGAATGGTCCAAAATGTTATTTATTTTGAGTTGCTTGATTTATAGGATAGAAAATTCCATGCCACATGATTTTTGATCAACATACATTTGATGACATGTAGATTATAATGAACGATTTGAATTTACAAAATAGATAGGCAAAGATATATTTTTACAGGGGTGTGTAACAAACTTAGTTACGCCCTAGAGGGGTGTGTGTGTATGTGTATATATATATGAGAATATTGGATATAAGGTGGCGGCTCACTTCGCTAAATGAGCTATCAAGAGATAGAGTGATGAGGTCCATAGTTTTGATGTGACTAGTAAGGTGGGCATCACCACATGACTATCTCTTAGTAGTTCATTTAACACAATAAGCCGTTGCCTCATACCCATTATTTCAATTGATTCAATCTAAATCTAAGAAAGCACCTCTTGATCCATAGATCTATTCCAATTGATGATCCACTCCATTCATCATGATCTAGATGCCTCAAAACATCTATAAAATAAAAATCATGATGATTAAATACTTCTATCACATATTTTTCATTGTCTCAGTTATATTGTCATAAAACTATTAATTTTATAATTACTTGATGTATGTGTAATCATGATCTAATATCCTTACTTTTTTATTTATATACAATTCAAAACATATAAATCAAAATGAATGAAGTGGATTGGGCTAAGTTGCATGGAAACGGGTAGGGGTATTGGTACGGGTGCGGGTACGTGACTGTAAAATTTCCGATCATATTTTTTAAGTTTCTTTTATCATATTACTTATCATAAATTGGAAACTACTCATTTTTTTTTGCTAGACATCCAAACGATGCTTCAACTATATAGTTTTAAACTTGGGCTTGGACTGAAACAAATTCGACCCATATCTAACTAGTTTTTAGAAACAGATGTGAATGTGAAGTGTAAGCTATACGTCCAAGAAGTGTGTGACAGGTGTTTTAAATTAACACATAATCGTATAATTGAGTACATGTTGTAATAAATGCATGCATATATTCGAGAAGCGTCCATGAAGTTTGGGTATGGGAAAGTATCGGGTACGTGTCCGGTGCGTGTACGGCTTCATTGTAGAAGTACCCGGGTAACATAGGGATCGGGTAAATTGATTGCATATAATATAGTTTGGGAGGGGCTTAGATTGAATCTAAGGTGTCACCTTAGGGACACTTTTCCGTACATACATACATATATATACAATCCGAGTGGAACCTTTTTCTTTATGGCTTTTGAATTGCATTTTCTTTTTTTGCTTCCAGTCGAATTGTAGGTTTTATTGTGCCAAATAACTTACATGTAACTGACATAGAATAAACTTACAAGTACAAAAGGTTGGTTTACCTCAAATGCTATTTGATAAATATTTGTTTGCCCTTAACATCATAATTTTGGTGAGGGAAATTTTTTGGAATACTTTATAGTCTACATTGATTTGATTGTAGGCAGACCTGATTGCTTTACTAAGCTTATGAACTTTCTTTTTCAGGAAGATAATGCTTAGCAATGATTGTTGTTGGTTGGAGTTTATACTTAGCTATGTTGCATGGGTACGGGTTTGGGTACGGGACATGACAAATTTATGAAAGGTAGGGTAAGGGGAAACTACATATTATTTATTGGAATTAATAATTTACGTTAGATGAATATATTTTTTATCCACGTGTTATGAGAAGTAAAATCCCCATAACATTATCATGTTTGTTCTATTATATGGATTATAAACTGGAAAATCACTAGTTTATAAACTAGACTTTCAATTGACCCTCTATCATAGCTTAGAACCTCACCTATGTCCAATGAGTTTCAAGAAGTGTATGTGAAGTGTAGAATATATGTTTGAATAATGTATGACGAGTTTTTTAAATTAAAGCATGTATTATATAATTAAGTAGATGCCCGATAAATGTATTCATATATGCAAGGAGTGTCAATGGAGTTTAGGTACTGGTACGGGTACGTGTCGGATACGGGTACGACATTCAGATAGAAGTACCTAGGTAACGTAGATACTTTGACATTTTCCAATGAGTATAGATTAGTGGTCATTATTGATGAAAAGACTGATTGTTGAGTTGCTAATTGCCATGTAGTTTTTTCTAACGCTACAACAAACAACTGTCACCTTAACAATTTAATTTACTATGTATCAAATAACAAATTACTGCACTATCTACAAAAGGATATTGTAGTTGTAGTTTCCTAACATGCTATTTGTGCTGAAACTACTGAGCATTCTCTTATTTCTGTTGCAGTTAAAGTAGGATTGTTTTGAATCTGTTGCCTTTTACTTGGGCGCAAAGAACCTTGCCTTTACCGTTGACTGTTGCCAACTTGCCATCAATATGCCTCTTCTTTTCCTTGATTGCTTCTTCTCGATAAGTCTTTGTGGCTATTTATCCACATATTCATCCATTTCTTCCAGGCCTTAATGTGTCCCTTTGTATGAGCATATCTATGCAGCATACCTCTATGGCTAGGTGCAAAGTTCCTGGCAAGCTAACAGTGAACAGAAAAATAGGGAATTGCAATAGCACCTTGAATTATTTGTCTTGATAGTTGGTAAATATGTTTGGAAGGTCTTTCCTTACTCTGTGAATGTTGCATGCAATATGAACTATGGACATAATGACGGTCGATAGTTGGCACTCGTCACTGACGAACGTCAACCCCCGATCTCTGTTGAAGATTTTTTTTCAAATAGGCTTTTGGTGTACTCTCTCTCTCTCTCTCTCTCTCTCTCAACCAATAACAGTCAGACATCTGAATTGGCTTCATCATGTTCTTCAATTTGCAAAAAACTACAGCATAATGTAATCTGGCTTAATCATGTGGTCATTGTTATATTTCTAAATGGTACCCGTGCAGTGCATTGGACCTTAGTATTATAATGCTGTTGCACTCGTAACCGCAACTGTAAATTGATCATTAATGTTAAGAAATTTGGAAGCCTTCAAGTAACTTTAATATGTTAAAAACATAGAGAAGAGAGAAGAAGTATGGGAAAAAAGAATAGAATAAGTAATGCTATTGAAGACGAAAGGTTGCATGTCTACTTAAGTGCCTAAATGTTGCATTCTGCAATTAGAGCTGCAGTTACTTTTTCAGTTTAGTGTAGATACATGATGTTGATTTTTCTGTAATTCTGACCCTCTTTCTTTTGCATGATCAGTCTTGTTTATATTAATTCGTAATGCTGGCTTCAGTTTCCAAAGCTTTCATTTTGCGAAGCTTCTTTCTGTGCCATATGTTAGTAAACTGACACATGCAAGCTCTTCATTATGCAGGCTGTCATTTTTACCGATATAAGTTTGGAAAAAGCAATTGAATATGATGATTATTGTCACAACCACAACCCTCCAATTCCTTTTATAAAAACTGAAGTTCGAGGCCTTTTTGGCAACGTGTTTTGCGACTTTGGTCCAGAATTCACAGTTTTGGATGTTGATGGAGAGGAACCACATACAGGCATAATTGAATCTATCAGCAATGGTAGTCCTGCACTTGTAACTTGTGTTGATGATGAGCGGATTGAGTTTCAAGACGGAGATCTTGTTGTGTTTTCTGAGATTAAAGGAATGACTGAGCTAAATGATGGTAAACCAAGAAAAGTTATAAATAAAAGGCCATACTCATTTTGTATAGAGGAAGACACAACAAACTTTGGTGCATATGAAAGAGGTGGTTTAGTCACACAGGTAAAACAGCCTAAAATCCTGAAATTCAAACCTCTAAGAGAGTCCCTGGGAGATCCTGGAAATTTCATGCTGAGTGATTTTTCAAAGTTTGACCGCCCGCCTCTGTTACACCTGGCTTTTCAAGCGTTGGATAAGTTTAGGCTCGAGTTGGGGCGTTTTCCTGTTGCTGGATCTGAGGATGATGTCCAGAGGTTGATAGGCTTTGCTACTAATATCAATGAAAGTTCAAGGGATGGTAAAGTGGATGAGGTGGATGATAAACTTCTGAGGTATTTCACTAGTGGTTCAAGGGCAGTATTAAATCCTATGGCTGCAATGTTTGGCGGTATTGTTGGCCAGGAGGCTGTTAAAGCTTGCTCAGGGAAGTTCCATCCTATTTTCCAGGTGAGTGCTGCTCGGCTATAAGTTAAAAAAATTCTCTTTCTCTCTACCTCTATTGTTTAAATTCCTCATAACTAAGTTTTAATGAAAATGGCAGTTCTTTTACTTTGATTCTGTTGAGTCTCTTCCTGTTGAACCGCTGAAGCCTGAAGATTTGAAACCTTTGAACTCTCGCTATGATGCCCAAATTTCTGTTTTTGGATCCAAGCTTCAAAGGAAACTTGAACAGGCCAATGTTTTTATGGTAGGCGCCGGTGCCCTTGGTTGTGAGTTCTTGAAGAATTTTGCTCTCATGGGAGTTGGTTGCAGTCGCAAAGGGAAGTTAACCATAACAGACGATGATGTGATTGAGAAGAGTAATCTCAGTCGCCAGTTTTTGTTTCGTGATTGGAATATTGGCCAATCAAAATCTATGGTTGCTGCTACTTCTGCCAGTACAATCAACCCTGCTCTCCATGTTGAACCTCTTCAAAACCGAGCAAGCCCAGAGACTGAAGATGTATTCAATGATGCGTTTTGGGAGAGGTTGGATTGTGTTGTCAATGCTTTGGACAATGTGAATGCCAGACTGTATATGGACATGAGATGCGTCTATTTTCAGAAGCCGCTCTTGGAATCTGGAACCCTGGGTACCAAGTGTAACACCCAAATGGTTATACCTCACCTGACTGAGAATTATGGTGCTTCTCGAGATCCCCCTGAGAAGCAGGCGCCTATGTGCACAGTTCACTCTTTTCCGCACAATATTGATCACTGCCTAACATGGGCCCGTTCAGAATTTGATGGCTTACTCCAGAAAACTCCGAGTGAAGTGAATAATTTTTTATCCAACCCAAAAGAATATGCTTCTTCCATGAAAAATGCTGGTGATGCTCAGGCTAGGGACCAACTTGAACGTGTCCTCGAGTGCCTTGACAAGGAGAGATGTGAAACATTTGATGATTGTGTCACATGGGCACGGTTGAAGTAAGTGTATTTTCTTCCTTCTTCCATCTTTTGAATCTTACATGTCCTACGCCGTCCACTATGACTCTCCCATCAAGCATTTATTGACGGCTTTTCTTGAAAAATTATCGCATGCATTTGAGTTTTGGCTCCTTGCTTTCTGTTGACCTGAATAATTCCGTTGACTTGATAAACTAATTTGGAGATATCTGTGGCACTGTTGTTGTGACATAAAGAACTTAAGGATAATACTCATCTTAGTTTTGAACAAACCTTTCCTTGCTTTTACTTAGACTCCCACTTTATTAATATGGCATACAGATGTGGACTTACTCGGCTTTGTATTTCTTTGTGATGTTGTATTCCTAATGCTGATTTTTCATGCTGTCCCTTCTCAGGTTTGAAGATTACTTCTCCAACCGTGTGAAGCAGTTGATTTATACTTTTCCTGAGGACGCAACTACGAGTACAGGTGCACCATTCTGGTCTGCTCCGAAGCGGTTTCCCAACCCACTGCAGTTCTCTTCTAGCGATCCAACGCACCTTCAGTTTGTCATGGCTGCTTCTATATTGAGAGCTGAGACATTCAGGATTACTGTTCCTGACTGGGCCAAGATCCCAAATAAGCTGGCTGATGTTGTCGATAAGGTCATAGTTCCTGATTTTCAGCCCAAGAAGGATGCTAAGATTGTTACGGATGAGAAAGCAACCAGCATATCCTCTTCTTCTATTGATGATGCTGCTGTCATTGACCAACTTGTCATTCAGCTAGAAGACTGTGCAAAAAAGCTACCCCCAGGATACTTGATGAACCCAATACAATTTGAGAAGGTATGTGCTTTTATTTTATTTTATTTTCCACTTCTGTGAGGGCTTAACTTGTATGGCTACATATTATAGGGTGCATACTTGCGTACTATAGGGACATAAAGCAAACTTAAGGATAAAATTGTGTCTGCATCATATGAAATTGAGGAAATATAGCAAAAGTCACTATTTTTTCCCCACTTTTCTGAGGGTTTAGCTTCTTTTAGGTTGTCAGCCAAAGAGGAGTAATATTTTTTTAGAAGTCTAGTATCATTAGACAGTTTTGCCTAATTGCAATGTTCGGGTTTTGAAGGCTCGTCTTCTATACATCAAGTGGTTTTTGATCTAATACTGTTAAGGCCTCACATATACAGCCCTGCTTGTTTCTTCTAGAATTTGTATACCGTGACAACTTTCCCCGTTTTGATGCCCCTCTTGACTATTAAATATAGCAATTACACACATTGAACTGGCTTGTATAATTATACCCATCTCACGTCAATACTTTGTCTCAACCTTCAGTTTTATTGTTTACGTTTTGTGATTAATTTTCACATGTACAGTTCTCTTATCTTTTGGAATTTATCTCTCTTCAGATCTTTATAAATCTTATGTAATTTTTTCCATTTTGGTAAAATCATCTCGCCTATTGGTAAGTAAAGCAGATAGTAACCTTCCTTAGATCATCATCTACCCCTCTACTCAAAACTTTTCTCAACGTACATTTTTTGTATTCAGTAAATAATTTCTTTTTCCAAAGCTTCTCTTTACTACTTAGGTTATATATGTCTTAAAATTCTTAGCCTCTTGCGTCTGTGATACTTGATATAAACACCTCCCTTTACCTAAAATTTCAGGATGATGATACAAACTACCATATGGATTTCATAGCCGGGCTTGCAAACATGCGTGCAAGAAACTATAGCATTCCAGAAGTCGATAAACTCAAAGCCAAATTTATTGCTGGAAGAATTATCCCAGCCATTGCCACAACCACGGCTATGGCAACTGGCATTGTCTGCCTGGAGCTCTACAAGGTTCTTGCCACCAATCACAAAGTCGAAGACTATCGCAACACATTCGCAAACCTCGCACTCCCGATGTTTTCCATTGCTGAGCCAATGCCACCGAAGGTGATGAAACACAGGGACATGAAATGGACCGTGTGGGACAGATGGACCATCGAAGGGGACGTCACCCTGAGGGAGCTCCTTGAGTGGCTCAAGGAAAAAGGTCTCAATGCTTACAGCATTTCTTGCGGCAATTCCCTGCTTTACAACAGCATGTTCCCCAAGCACAAGGAGAGGATGGACAAGAAGGTTGTAGAACTGGCGAAGAGTGTGGCTAAGTTGGTTATACCTCCTTACAGGCGCCATGTGGATGTTGTCGTCGCTTGTGAGGATGACGAGGATAATGACATTGACATTCCACTGGTCTCCGTATACTTCAAGTAGATGACTCGAAGATTTTACTTAAGATACCGAAAAAAGTACTGAAATCAGAACTATGTAACAAATGTGATTCATTTAGAATACCAGTTCCTGTATAACGTTGAATTTTCTGGGCAAGATATGCCATTATCTTGTACATTGATCCGTTATATCCTTGTTTCCAATACCTTAATAGAGACGGCCAGATGCCTCAGTTTCATTGTTATTGCCTGAATTTTATTTTCGTATAGCAGGTGGTTAAAATGATTGGTGGTGCAGTTTTATTTCTATCATGCTTTTTTTAAAGGAAATTTGCTATCAGGTTTAGTGTTGGTGAACGGTGGTCCACTGAGTAGTCTGAGTTCCAGGATTTTGCTGCTTATAATAGCGCCTGATTTGGAATTTCTTCAGCTGACAGTATTCAGTTTGCAGCGAAAGGAATTTGACCTTCAGTTGATGCCTGTTGCAACACTTACGACGCGCTACTCTGTTGATCATTTTTATGGGATATTGCGTTACTGTCGTGCAATTTACAAAAGGAATGTTTTTATATTAAAAAATTTCCATAATTGACATAAATCCAAATTAAACTTTTTTATTCACAATGGGGGTGTCTGAGTACGTATGAAAAAATAAAATTTCAAAGGCATAAGGCAAATGGAATTTACGTATAAATCTATAAATTAAGGTTCTTTTTGGAGGGGGAAAAAACAATAAAAAAATGGTTCTTCCGCATGAGCATAACACATTTTTGTAGTGATGAGATCTCAACAACGCTCTTTAATAAGGTCCGTCCGGTTTCACGCACGAGACCAACTTGTGGGGCCCAACGTGAGGCCGTTCAAACAGAATATAAAATTTAATTTCCACATTTGCCCCTCTATATATATTTCCTCCCCCCCTCTCTCTTTCGCTATCTTGCACCGGAAGCAAGTTCTCTTTACTACGAGCGAGAGAGAGTGTGAGATAGAGAGAGAGAGAGGAGGAGGAGGAGAGAGAAGAAGAATTCTAAAAGAAAATGTTCTACTCGCATCAACTTCTCGCGAGAAAAGCTCCACTCGGCCAAGTCTGGTAAAATCTCGTCTCCTTCCTCCCATTCTCGACGCACTTCCCCTCATTCTGATGATCTCTGGTCCATGGCGGTTTCTAGGATGGCCGCGACGATGCACGCGAAGATCAACCGGAGGAAGCTCGACAAGCTCGATCTCGTCAAGATCTGGTAAGCTCCATCGATCTCCACCGAGTCTTCGACTCTTCGTCTTTCAGTGTTTCTGTGAATTGATTGTGATATATATATAACCCGCGTGGTTTCAGCGAAGAGATCTTGAATCCGTCGGTTCCTATGGCGCTCCGCCTCTCTGGGATTCTCATGGGCAAGAGATCGATCTAGCTTTTGATCAAGTTTTTTTTTAAAAAGTTTTTTATGTGAATTTTTTGAAGATTTTTTTAATATTTCTTTAGGCGGCGTGGTAATCGTCTACGAGAGGAAGGTTAAGCTTCTCTATGGTAGGTTATGTCTCTGTAAATTTCTGACCGAATTTAATTTATTTAATTTTTTGAGAAAAATAATAAAATTGTTTTTAATTCATTTGTTTGTACAGATGATGCTACTCGTTTTCTGGTAATTTCTACGACTAGTTTCCTCCCTTTTCCATAAAATTTCTCTTTTTCTTGTTGGTTTTATTTATTTATTTAGATTTTTTTTATTTTTTAAAAAGCTGGAAATTAACGAGGCATGGAAAGTTAAACCTCACGTAGATCGCACCGTTCTCCCAAAAGGAAAATCCCAAGCCAAGTAAACATTTCCTTTTTCTAATTACCTCTAAATTTTTTTTTGATTTCATTTATTTGTTTTAGAAACTGAAAATGTTACGTGATTAGGTTTGAGGCGGTGACGCTCCCTGAAGCCGTCGACATGGAAATGGAGCAACCTATGAACTTTTTCTCTGATACCTCGACGACAGCTGCGAGATTCCAGCGAATGGTAATGATTTTCTAATATATTTGACAATTATACCCCTCTAACTGTGTTCAGCACTTTTCGCGAGAGGGGTGTTTTTGGTATTTGTAAAAATTGCATGGTAGAGGGGTGTTTTTGTAGATAGATGAAAAAGTCCGACTGTTCTCTATGAGGGAACATGGGAGAGCCCTTGAGCAATAAGAAGATGCCACGTGTACTTTTATAACCGTTTTCAGACGGGCTTTTTGGCATCAAGTTTGAGCTTCTGTGGCCCAATGAGCCAGTGAAAAGACCAAGTTTGAGCTTCTGTGGCCCAATGACTAGCCCAAATAATTTCCTTAAGACAGTAAGGGATGTTTGATTAACTATTTAACTTGTATAACATCCAGAGATTGGATGATTTGGATGAGCACTTCATCAACATCAACCCAGGAGATGAGGAGCAATCCCTACATCATCACCAAGGTTTCTACTTCACCACATTTCCTCAAAGCTACTAGTTTGTCTCCTTCAATTTCACTACAAAATGAAAAATACAGGACACACGAGCATAGCTGTTGTATATCTATTTTGAAGCTAACACTGAGCAGCAAGCTCTTTCTTATTGCAGCTGATGCAGCTAATATCACATTGTTTGATGATTTTGGCTCCGGCATGGCAGAGACAGATCTCTATAATAGATTCGAGAGGTAGCTTGCTCTGTTCTTCTATTGCATTTTGGTTTTTTTTTTTTTAAGTTCATAATACTAAGGCTGAATATTAACTTTAGATCAGATGAGAGAGACACTAGAAGACTAAATTGTGATGAATGTCTGTGTATTTGCTGAGAGTGTGCTTGTTTTTCTAACGATTTAATATTAAATTTGCAGGTTTGACATAGGAGAAGATGAAGAAATTCAGATGAACTTCACTCCACAAGAGCAACCTACTCTCGTACCCTCACCCCCTAGAGAATATGCTCAGCAACAGCCTCGAGCCTCTTGCGCCTCCTCTCCTCCAACTCACCATGAGTCAGCACCTCAACGTACGTACCGAATCCTGAAAATTGGCTTAAGCCTGAACTGGGCTTTTGTATTATTTTCGAAAAAAATGCAGTCCTTGGAATTCATGGAACTTTTCTTGCCGAATCTTTCTGCAGATGAACCTATGGTAGAAGAACAAGAGGAGAGGCTACCTGAACAACACGATAATGCTGCTCAGGAGGTGAAATTTTAATCAGGCTAACAGAAATGATTAAGGAATTTCTTATCTCAACTAATTAGTTCCATTTTACGAAATTCCGCAGGCTGTGGAACCTGAACCTGAAGCTGAGAACAAGCAGAAATCTTCAAGAAGGAAAGCCCGTAGAAATCTCCCTCGAGTGATTATGGATGATGAGCAGATCATGATTCCTGGTAATATTTATCAGTCGTGGCTTCAGGATGCTTCCAGCATCATTTCGAAAAGAAGAAGAAAGACAAAGGTTCATCTTCATCTGATACTTCTTTCAATGCCTGAAATAATTATCTAAAATTGATGATGGAATACACTATTATCGCAGCTTCAGCACCCAATTTCCACTACAAAGCTCACCGTCCTCATGGAATTGCCGCCGTTGGCTTTGATGACTGGCTTAGACAACTTCCCCAGTGAACTCCATTACCCTGGACCTCTTTTGAATCTATGGAGGAAATGTACTGACTCAGTGCGTGATCATGGTTCATCTTCTGCAGGTTTGATCCTACCGCCATCATAAGTACTACATAAACTCATGGGCATTAACTTCTTGAGGTACTTCTGAGTAACAGGAACATCACCTGAGGCCCGACGAAATCCAGTATCACACTCACCTCCTGAGTCACTATCTCGTCGCAACAATATTAATTATGAATTTGTAAGGTTTCATTTCTTAATAGAATAATTCATGATCTTGTTTCGGATTTTTGTGTAAATCATGTGAAATGTATGCATATGAAAGCCTCCAGGAGAATATCAGAGTGAAATAGGCTCACAGCATGTATCACCAATAGAGAAAGGGCGAGCCGAGCAAGTGAACATGGAGTTCCATGCTATTTTCAATGATGCTGATTTGGGGGGTAGTGATCGTTTTACTACTCCCAGTAGTCCTGGTAATTATTGGAGTCCTTAGTTTTTATGCAAGTCATGTGTAATTGTTTTTTGATAATTTTGAGGCTCTTTGAACAGGTCGGCTGAGCTCTGGATCTATTCCTAGCTCTGGATCTGGGCATATATTCTTGCCCCATGAACAGGAAGTTCTACCAAGTTCATCAAGGTCAGTTGTGTTTTTGCTTATGGATACTATCAACAACGAGCAGTCATCTCTTGTGGAACAATTTGCAGGAATTTGAATAATTTTTCAGTTCTGTTCCCTCCATTTTCAGTTGGAAAAACCTTTTAACTTGAAATCATAATTCATAATTGCAAACTCAAGTAAAGTCCTTCTTAGAATTTTTTATAGGGTGTATTGCACATAAGCCCTCTCATCTATACCTTCAGTTTGCACTAAACCCCTCAAATCATTTTTTAGCACACAGGAAGCCCCCTCAATTCATGAAGAGAAAAGTGTTGCTTGTAATTTATCTTTCTAAAAAGGGCATTTTTCAAGGGTGCTATGTGCTAGTAAATGACTTGAGAGGTGTTAAGCTTCCAAAACTTGAGAGGTGTTAAGCGTAACTGAAAGTGCATATATATGAGGGGTTTAATTGGAATTATTCATGGCCTTCTCCTAATGTTGTCAAACTTCCAAAACTAGCCAAGTTTGTTAACCAGTTAAACATTTTCACATGTAAACTGATGGAAATTATGAAACAGATATAAGAAAAGGCAGCATTCTTCGGCGAGAAGTGACTTAGGAAACCTTGATCCAGTCGAGGAGGAGACTCCAATGGTGCAAGATGTGAGAGGCTTTAAGATCCGCAGGCTATCAGAGACCAGACCAACTTATGATACAGGCACTTGAGAAAACTTTCAGCAATTAATCTGAACCTGCTACCATTTATTTGTGGACTTACTGATCTTAGATTAAAATTTGATCGATCAATTTTCCTCTTGGCTTGAATTAATATTCTGCAGACCTGTTAGAAGAAACGGCGGATCCAACTCAGACTCCACATCCAGTGATCACTGAGCCCACGGTTGACAGAGTCACCCAATCAATTCGAACGTAAGTACAGATTAAGATTTTTTTGCTTATAAATCAAAGTCTCTTACTTAAAGTTTGAGAGGAACGTAAAATTTAATTACAGTTATATAGTATTCCCCTTCTGGGTAATCCTTAAATGCTGACATCTCTCACAAAAGAAAAATTCTTTAAGGACCCAAAATATGGGACCAATAGGGGGGACAAGTGAGGTGTCACCCTCCTATTAGATAATGAGTTGGCCATCATTAATGATGACCAACTCATTATCCAATAGGAGGGGGACACCTCACTTGTCCCCTTTATTGGTCCCATATTTTGGGTCCCTGTAGCAAAGCTCATCACAAAATTGCTAGTGGCAAATTCTGGTGTTTATTGAATGCTCATGGAAACAGGGTAAGTTAGAAATAGGGTTAGTTGCGGACATCCCTGTACCATCCTCCAATTGCGGATAGACCCCCTATAGTTCAATTGTTGCAGATAGACCACGGAGTGAAATTTTTGACTCTTTTACCCTCAGAGAATAGAAAATTGTTTCTGACAAAGAGAACTGAGGGGAAAAGAATTAAAAAAAACCCACTCAAGGGGATCCTCTGCAACAATAGAACTAAAGAGGGTCTATCCACAATTGAGCGATAGTACAGGGGCAAATCTACAACTAAGCCTCAGAAACATGGCATCAAGCAATGATATCTCTCTCTTGTGCAGGCATCTCAAGATGCATTTCGACACCCCAGGCAATCCACAGTCAGAATCAATCGATCAGCTTGCTGCCGGTATGAACCGGAAAAAGGCTGCCCAGCTCTTTTACCAGACTTGTGGTAGTTCCCTTTCTATATTTAAATCTCTTGGTTTTGTTTATCCACATAACAACCTTTATGAAGCCTAGCTTATCTGAAGCTCCTTTGTTGAGATCCGACTGTTGCCTTCTGCAGTTTTGGCCACCCTGGACTTTGTGAAGGTTCACCAAGCGGAGGCTTACGGGGAAATACTGATCTCCAAAGGTTCGAAGATGTGATCGATACAAGCTCTTTTTTTATATCGCATGGTTTTCCTCGACTCCATTTTGGCGACGGAGGCATTATTATCGCAGTATTTCACATCATAGATTAGCTTAGTATAGCGTAGAAGAGATGGGGTTCTCACCTCTTAAAACCTCTGATTTGAATCGGGAAAAAATAGTTTCCCTTGTGCAGAAGTTGGAGAGAACATGAGAAGCTAACATAGTACTATAGTTCTTCGTCAGAATACATTATGTAAGTCTTTATCTCTAAAGAACATCATGGTGCAAATGTATTACTACTCACTGCAGTTGTTAACAAATATATGTATAGGAATATTTAGGGGAAATAGCTAAATAATTCCATATTCCACAATCAACTGCGACAAATTTGATCCCTATAACATTGCTGATGAAGAGTAAGGAACCAATGTCTCATGATTAACCATAATATACAACATTCCTTTAATACCCAAAAGTTAAAAGAAAAGTTGAATTAAAAAAACCGTGAATATTGAAGAATCGCTATATAAGCTTCAGTGTTAACAAGCAGCAGTTCTGTGAGAATAATTTTTTTGTGTTCAATCTTTCGATGCTTGTACCGAACGGCACTTGAGAATTATCCCCGGAACATGAATCAGGGTTTTAGACCATTTAAGGCCTATTATCGTCGTCAGCACCTTCATCAAATACTCCTGAGGATCCAACACGGAAATCAAGCTGCTTCTGATGCTTTAACCGACGGCGCTCGTCAAAATCTTCCCAACCTTCAATCTATTTGTATCAAGTAAAGAAATTTCGGTTTGAAGCAAGAAATGGTTAATAGTTGCTCTAAAAGTATATCAAGCGTTTGAAAACTTAGCTATGGGAGAAAATCCTACTAATAGAAAGAGGAGCTTCAAAAGAGGGGTTTAATGATCCCTCCCATTCAGAAATTTTCATGGTGCTGCAGTCCAATCTTTAAATTCAAAAAAAAAAATGCGACAAAAGAAAATCCTACTAAGCTGAATCGGGGCCAACCTAGAGGTTCCCATTCTAGAAAGCTAGAATTGATCAATTTGACATTTTGAATTATATTGTCCCTCTGACTCCAGTGTCTCAAGTCTCGAGGAATCAAGTTTAGCAGGTTCTCAGATAAAATTTGGAAGTAAATGTCTAGGCTTTTTCATGCAATATCCTGTTCAATTATGTAGATTTTTTTCTTTTACCGGATGGCTGTGACATTGCTCAAAGTTTAAAAATGAACCAGTTGTAATTTCAGAACAGATTATACTGAGATAAACCCGTCTTTTAAGCAGTAAAAATAGAATGCAAGAAAGCTTGGGTAGTTTCCTATAAGGAGCTATACCTGCCGCAGAACATCATTAGTGATTTCAGTGCCGTGGAGATTGAGAATTGACAGCTGCGTGCACATTTTGAACAATGTTGAAGGAAGAGATTTGAGACCGTTGTTACTCAAATGCAATGCCTGCAATGTTGCCAAAATACTGTTTTAGAAGAATAAGATGTTTTGTTTATGGAATACAAACAGTTTAAATACATGTTGAGACACGATGGTCATTATACAAATCAAACTTGCATACAACTCAGTTTCTCGTTGCAATTATACAATATACAGCATTTCTCCCTAGAAGGCCTTATTAGAGGGTTCGGCTATCTTCAAGCATTCATTGGTACAAGCTCTCATTATTCACAATACAAATCAGTATCTACAATTTGCAAGTTTTTTTTCCCTGTAATCTTGTTAGTTTGTTTCTAGATTATCTTCAGTATAGATCTTTCTAGAAACTTTACCTATTCTGTCCTGCTACCTTTATATACTGTTTCTAGCCTAAAGATTGAGACCTTAGTTATTCTCAAACATGTGAAGGACATGATTCATCAGCATTCACAATACAAATCATTGCATCTATTTACAATTTGCAAATGTTTATGTGTTCTTTTCCATCTGTTTGTTTGGGTTTCCTATGTATGTGTGCACATGTGACAAGCACTGATGCACATGATGTGTACTCCCTCCATTATTTTTTATCCCAACAAATGAGGGATGAGGCTCTTTCTTTAAATCCTTATTACTCCAGAACCTCCTCTCTCTTTCTTGGTTAGCATTTGCTTCTGATGGTGCATGTTTAAGTCTGAGGGGCTAAAGCTTCATGGATCTACTTAGCTACAGTTACTTAATCTGTTTGGACCCTCAACTTCATAAGATAATGTTTTAAACTCCCATTCTAGAAAAAAGAAATCAAAATACAAAATATTTAATACACCACGAAAAAATTCATACATTCAGTTTGTACTATGAAAATTAGGAAAATCTATTTGATTAAAAGGAAAAATTACAAAATATATCAATCTAAAGGATCTCTGGCTAGGTCATCTAGAGTTAATTGCTCCTCCGTCAGCATCAACCCAAGAGGTTAAGATAAGTCTTTCAACCCCCATCAATCCAAAAGTCTGACACTCTGACGCTTGATCTTTCCAAAGTTTTTACAGAGGTACACAACCGTACTTTATAGATCTATGTGCAAATGTGTAAATTTACTTAAACATAACATTGATGAATACTTTCTGACTTCGATATTACTCAAGATGGTTAAGTCTTGAGATCTTTCACGTGAGAATACTGAAGTAACAAAATGATATTATGTGGATACAGTGGATTTATATGCCGTTGGAGTGTCCTAAAGTGTCCGAAGAGTGTCCATAGTATCCAAGTGCCAGGTAAAAACTGAACAATTAAGTATCTGGGTCAGTGGTACGGGTATCCAATATTTACACTAATTCCAACAACAAAGCAATGCACAGCTGAAATTGTCCTATCTTTAGAACAAAGACATTTTACAATGCAAGGATAAATTTTCAAAATAGACCCCATTAGGAATTTATTTTCAAAAAACGAATTGGTTGAAACTGGGTTGAAAATGACAAATAAAGTTTGAGAACTTCATGAGATTTAAAATCCTGTGAAGTTTAGTGTCTAATTAGCCTTACTAATGAAAAATCCAACAAACTTCATGGAATTTTAAATCCCGTGAAGTTTGGTCGCAACTTCATGGGATTTCAACTCCCGTGAAGTTGCAGGGTGCAACTTCCAGATAGCTCGTAAGCTCTCTGGAACTTGCATCCTGCAACTTCATGGGAGTTAAAATCCCGTGAAGTCTGCATAGGCCCCACTCACCGAGGTCGTTATATCTCTCTTCTCTCGCATGATCTCATTCCATATTCTCTCTCTCACATCCCCAGTACTCTCTCTCTCTCTCTTTGTTCATTTACCCCCAAACCCTAGATCATCTCCTGCTGTCGCCGTCGCTACCGCTGTCTCCGCTCCCACCGCCACCGCCGCCAACCTTTTTAAGTATGATTATGAATTTTAAGAATATATACGGTTAGATTGTTCAAATTTGTTGCTTGTGTGGATCGATTTTTGTTTATATATGTGATTTTCGTGAGTATTGTTTTGATTTATAGTTGAATTTTATGCATATTGTTGTAATTCAGTATATATGCGACAATTTTGATGTTTATGGTTGGATTTTTCACGTATATTATTGTGAATGAGGCGAAATTCATTACATACAACAGGTTTTGGATTAGGTGGAACATGCGCTTGGATTAGATGGAACACGCACATAGTTTGTGCATGTTGGTGGGTGACCTGCAACTTCATGGTATTTCAAATCCCGTAAAGTTGGAGGCTCATTTGACAAAGACTCGTGAGCTCTCTGAAAGTTGCATCTGCAACTTCACAGGAGTTAAAATCCCGTGAAGCTGAAACTTCACAGGATTTTGAATCCCGTGAAGTTAGGTGGCTTTCTCATTAGCAAGGCTAATTAATCACTAAATTTCACGGGATTTTAAATCTCGTAAAGTTTTCGAGCTTCATTTGCTATTTTCGACCTAGTTTCAGCCAGGCGGTTGAAACTGGGTCGAAAATGACAAATAAATTTCAAATGGATAGTTTTTTAAAATAAATTCCTAATAGGGTCTATTTTGAAAATTTGTCCTACAATGCAAAGAAAAATCAAAAAAAATTATCTTCATGGATACCTCCAGAAGGAAACTAAATTGTACTTGATAACAAAAGCATCGGAGCAAGAGTGTCATTTTCATAAGTTAATTAGGACATAGATAACACACACAAGTTCAAGGTCTCTGGAAGCTCAATCACAGATTTGGACAATTTCAAAAACACAGTCGTCCAATGATAGACGCATGAAAATTTTATAAGTTTAGATTCTCCAGAAAAATTTAATGGCAATAAATCTAAATATGTCGAATTTAGCGAGAAAATTAACTTGACCATCGACATGAATCGATAAACTAGAAGGGTAAGAAATAGACCTTCAGATTTCGTAATTTCCCAAATGTCTCTGGCAGTTCAATCAAAAGATTGGATGAAAAATCAATCTGTAAACATCATAAATGAAACATGCCCGTCAAGTAACATATCTGGTGTCCTCAAACAGATTGCTCTGTCAAGGATCATAATATAAATAAGAACATACAATACATACCACAAGGAAAGTACTACCTCGATCAGTGAGCAACAGTTCCCTATAGACGGAGGCACTAAGCTTATCCTGTAAGCAAATAAAAAAAATATCAACCAAAATAAGAAGAGAACTTTAATGATTGTTAACATAAACATATAAAATTCCCCAAATTTGTTGGTCATTTTTTGTTACCTTCCCACAAACTAGAACATAACTACAGAACGTGGAGAAGTCATCTAAACCATCTGAGCTTGACATATATAACGACTAACAGGATCCACAGTGATAAATGTGAGATAAGTATGGGGTACATGATCCCAAAAGAATAAGCTAAGCAGAAAATGGAAGTAAATGTTGTTGAAAGAACAAAAATACTTCTTTGAAATTAATGTTTGTTCTGCAGTTTATAACCATCTAGATGTAATGTAGGTTATCAATAACCATGTAGGTACATCTTACTTCCCTAACTTCCATGCTCTTGCTTTACTTCAAGCATTCATCTGTCAGTTAACAAAGACATGAGGTGAGCTGAAAATTCTTCATTTTCCCCCCATAGATTTATATGTTACCCACATATACGCCAAAAAAAGAAGAAGAAAAAAAGAAAAAAGAAAAACATCACAAGCATCCAGTGAGCTGCTTTATGAATATAATCCTCATATTTCAAAAGTTAGAAATTGAAATGTATGATCGTTATGTCCAAGTTAACTATGACTTCCAGTATAGAATATCAAAAGAATTATTGAAAAGAAGTAATATGTTACATTGAGATATCTTGTTAATATAATCCTCCTCTTGCTTCAAAGTTAAAGGCTAAGTGAAAGAGTACCATATTCAAATTAATTTGGATGTTCCTATGAAGAATATTCAAAAAAATATTATCGTAAAGAGGAAGTTTTTCTAATTTTAAAAATATAGAGATAAAAATAAATCCATAAAGCAGTACCTTAAGCGACAGATGGTAGTACACAGTAGGTCTACCTTCGGTAACTTGCTACCCTTAACTAGAAGGGGGGGGGGGGGCGGGCTAATGAAAAACAAACGACAATGTAACATTCACGCAGCAACTTTGAAAACTATCAATAACACCTCCTTGAATACTATCAATTGAGGGGAGCGGGGAAGAGGACGCCAAAAAACTATAACGATCATGTAACATTCATGCAGCAGCTTTGAAGTCATAAAGCTGTTTAGTCTATTGTAGCACAACATACTAATGAAAACAAATGATGATCATCTACTTGCATAAGAAAATATGCTTAAAACTTCAAGTTTATCGTTTAAGAGCAAAAAGTAATGATAATGCCAGTTCCAATATACCTATTGTTATTTGCTTTCAGAACTTGAAGTTGATTCAACAAACCTAACTCATCGGGTAAGCTTGTCAGCATATTCTTTGAAATATGCAATTGGCTTAATGAAGTCAGAGAGCCCAATGCTGATGGCAAAGTAGTCAGCCTGTCAATAAGAAATGCAACGAAACCTTTATTTGTACCAAAATCATCAACATAATAACTTCAGAAACTAAAAGGAACAGAAGAAACTTTGTATATAATGTTTTCTTTGTTTAGAACTTTATACAATATTGTCTTTATCACCCTCCTAGCATCAAACATGATGTGGATGACTGGTACCCAGCTGACTAAGTAGACATCAGAGTTCGTTTTGGGTCCTAGGTCCATTAAGATGTCCTGTGTCCATTAAGCTCAAGTAGAGAACTAAAACATTTTTTGAAGCCGAGTCAAGGGGTCTTCAAAGCCAATTTGTAGCAATTCATTAATGACTAAAAGGAAATAAGTTAGATTATAACATATAATGGAACTAGGATAAAATACTTCCATACATAACTAAATCCATCACATAGCTCCATTCTCTTTTTAGAAGATTTCGAGTATCACTTCACCAGTTTTCTTAATGAGGAACCCAGTTTCTAAAAGAGCTCATTGTTACAAGTGCTCATTGTTACAAGTGCTCTGCATGATAGTCCCCGATTGTTTTCTAGTCTAAATTACTATTGCTACAATGCTAATAAAGTCAGCCAGATAGGTTAGTGTAAATGGTACCGATCCGACTTTTATTTGACACTTTTGCTAAGCTCTTTTTTCTTTGGCAGGGTAATCATTTCCTAAACGACCTATGTCTCTTTCTGTCAGCCTTCAAAAACAATAGCCAAGAAATCTTCTTTGACCATGTAGTAGATAGCACGGACATATGTTGAACATGAAGCACTGTCATGTTGAACACACGTATTAAATGTAACTTTCTATTTCGTGGGTATTTTTTGAATTCATAGTCTTGCACTCTGTCTTGGTGTCAAATCCACATCCGTGTGTCTGTCCATGGAAGTTTGAATATAAATTCAATTTAGAATAATTAACATCAGTATATACATAAAAGGAATGGTACTTACTGGTTTTGACTCAGAGACAGAACTGCTAAATACTTCAGAGACGATAAACTTTCCCAGCTAATGCTCTCATCTGAGATATCATTTGCATTTATCAGCAGTTTCTGAAATTATAAAAATTTAAAAACTTGTAAAAACATTATTTTCATACGATTATGGTAGAAACATAAATATATTACTCCTCCAATATCAAAAACATTGTATCTCATTCTTGTAAGAATTGCAAAAGAAATTCAGAATGAATTGTGAGTATAACAGCGTAGTGAAAGAGGAATTAGAAGGGACGTTACATTCAAATGTTTCATAGAGCAAATTTTGGCTGATATTTCTCGAATAAGATTGTTGCTGAGATCCAATACTCTCACACATAGCCCACAATCCCAAACCTCATCAGGTACAACCTGTATGGAGAAGCATGTGCATAAAATTACTCCGCTTTAAGCATAGAAAAAGGCAAAAGAAGATGCAACATAAACATGTTACGAGCATCACTGTATGAATCGATCATAAATAAGTTAACACTACCTATATATCAGGCTGTTCGTCAGGAATATCACAAGGAATAAACTTTCCCCTAATTAGATCTGCAGGTGTATTTCCTTTAAGCACTATTGGAGAAGACAAAAGAACAAAACTGATTTTTTCCCCACCAATAAAAGATGTGTTTATATCCATGTGTAAAAGGCTCATTGATAAATCAAAGCATGAAGATAGATGTATAACATAGCTAATTGCTTCCACTGCACTGCCTTTGGTTAAAGCCACTGCAGGTGTATTTCCTTTAAGCACTATTGGAGAAGACAAAAGAACAAAACTGATTTTTTCCCCACCAATAAAAGATGTGTTTATATCCATGTGTAAAAGGCTCATTGATAAATCAAAGCATGAAGATAGATGTATAACATAGCTAATTGCTTCCACTGCACTGCCTTTGGTTAAAGCCA